TCATTTTCAATCATGCATTTTCCTATAAAATAAATTTACACGTAAATCGATTTTTTTAACCACACATTTTCCAAAAAAATCACTATCCCAAAATACTTAACAAAATGGAATTCAAACAAAGGCTAAATATTAGACGAAATTTCAAAATTTTTAAATATTATTCAGTAGTGCAATCCAATATTTCAATGTGTATAACAAATGATTAATGTTATCTAACACAATAGTGTTGAACATCAATCTAGTATCAAAATATCAAAGGTCCTATTAAATTGCAATAATTTCTGGTATTTAATTAAATTTATAATTTAATATCACTAATATTTCACCTAAATTGATATTAAATACTAATAATGTTGTATACCATTAATCATAATAATTATGTTGAAAAGGCAGTTATGGCAAGCAAAGGTGCTTGTGAGTTCGCATTTCCATTGTTTCTCAAAGTAAAAGTTCGGTGAAAGAGTAGACTTTAGGTGGTGGATGCACAGCCTAACAAGATGGACCCACATATGCATGAGATTATTATTATTATTATTATTATTATTATTATTATTATTATTATTATTAGTTTGAGTGAGAAAATAAGAAATTTTTAGCTTTCATGAAAATAAGTTACCGCAGATTCATAATGCTGCGCATGTAAGAACCACTTAGCATGTCCAATAGGATTTGGAAAGACAATGGTAAATTTCAAAGAAAATAAATAAATATACTGAATAAGGGTGTGTTTATTACACGACATTAAATATAATTTGACACTATTAAACTGAGAAAAAATAGACCTCCCATATTTATAGTTTCAAAATTATATACAACCCTGACCACTTTTTAAGTTGTATATTATCTAAAATGAGGTTGATATATCTAAAATATCTTTGTTAGAAAAATATGAATTTTGCTGCAGTTAATTATAATTTAATTTGTTCCCTTTAATAATAAATAAATACTTGAAGATCTTATAAAGACGCAATTCTAGTAAGCTAGTGGAAATTTAAACCTAAAACCCATTGAAGTATTTGGTAATAAGCGATTTAAAGATTTTTTTATTAATTATATATATATATTATGGTACATAATTAAAATATTAACTAATGCAAACTAATTTTTATCCACACATTCTATGACACCTACAAGTACTACCATTTTTCTATAACTTATTTCTATCTATTTATAAACACTTCACAAAGAAGCTTTAAAATAAGATATTAAATATAAACATGTATTTTTTACAAGTGAAATTTAGATAAAAGAATAGTATGACATTAATAGATTAAAACATTATAAAGCACATTCAAAATTAATTTAAAACAATGATCACGTTATATAATGGAATGCTATGTCATAGCAATTTAAGAAACTCTTTGAATATAAGATGCTATCTAAAAATATCTCTAAATAAACTTCAAAAAACTCTGTATTTTTAACTTTTAGAAATAGGCCTCACTTTATCCGTACTTTAAAATGATTACATTTAATTAGTTTATAGAAATTAGACATGATAGCCTTTCTGATGGAAAAAAAAAAAAAAAAAAAACTTGTGTAGGATGGTTTGTGGGATATAAAATGGAGACAATATCATATGTACCCTCTAACATTCATGGCAATATCAGAAATACCTTATATGTAAAATATCAGTAACCTCCCATACTTGTATATTTGAAAATTTCATACATCCTTGACTACTTTTTAAGTTATGTATTATCTAAAATGAGGTTGATATATCTAAAATATCTTCTTGAAAAAAAATATGAATTTTTCTACAATTAGTTATTATTTAATTTGTTCCCTTTCATAATTAATAAATACTTAAAGGTCTTATGTAGATGCAATTCTGCTATATTAATGAAAAATGCACCTCCACGTCGACATCAGCATGAATTATGTCAACATTTTCTTGTACTCATGACTTTTTCCTTTGAAGTATTCGGTAATAAATAATTTAAAGTTTTTTATTAACTATTTATTATGATAGATAATTAAAATATTAACAAATGCAAACTAATTTTTATCTACACATTTCATGGCATCCACGAGTACTACCATTTTTTACCACTCATTTCTATCTATTTTTAAATAAAATTATTTATAAACACTTCACATTAAAGAAGCTCTAAAATAAGATATTAAATATAAACTTTTATTTTTTACAATTGAAATTTAGCTAAACAATAGTATAACATTAATATATTGAAACATTACAAAACATATTCAAAATTTATTAAAATAATGATCACGTTATATAATAGAATGTTATCTTAAAGTAATTCAAGAATCTCTCTATATATAAGGTACTCTCTAAATAAACCTCAAAAGACGACCTATTTTAACTTTTAAAATAAGCCTTCCTTTATTCGTACTTTAAAATGATTGCATTTAATTAGTTTATAGAAATTAGACCTGTTAGCCTTTCAGATGGGAAAAAAAATTGAATTCAACTTCTGTAGGATGATTTGTTAAATATAAAATAGAGACAATATCATGGGCACCCCCTAACATTCATGAAAATATTAGAAATACCTTCTCACACGTCAAAATTATCACAAACCTCTCTTATTGATAGAGAATGTTGCTAATTTCCCAGAGAGTAGATGATAGATAAAGTGATAGAATAGGCGTTGGTAAGATGTGATTAGATAAAAAGATTGAATATGTTTTAAACTATCAATAATAGGTTACCATGTGACATTATGTTAAAAATTATGTCTATGTAGCATGATTGATTTGAGAATTTCATACAACCTTGACCACTTTTTAAGTTATATATTATCCAAAATGAGGTTGATATACCTAAAATAGATTTGGGAAAAAAATATGAATCTTTCTATAATTAGTTATAATTTAATTTGTTTCCTTTAATAATTAATAAATACTTAAAGATCTTATTAAGACACAATTCTAGCATGCTAGTGAACCAATTTTGTCTACACATTCCATGACGTCCACAAGTACTACATACCTTTTTTCTATCATTCATTTCTATCTATTTATAAATAAAATTGTTTATAAACACTTCACAAAGAAGCTCTAAAATAAGATATTAAATATAAACATGTATTTTTTACAATTGAAATTTGGCTAAATAATAGTATAACATTAATAATATATTGAAACATTATAAAACACATTCAAAATTTATTAAAATAATGATCATGTTATATAATAGAATGTTATGTCGGAAGAATTCAAGAAGTTTTCTGAATATAAGGTGCTCGCTAATAAACTCCAAAAAAATTCTCTTTTTCAAAAAAGGCCTCCCTTTATTCGTACCTTAAAATGATATTTAATTAGTTATGTGTTTCAATACTCTTCTCATTAATTTATTCAAATTATATTGATTATTGATATATTAAAAAATATGTTAAATAGAAGATGAAGATAAATCAACAAATGTCTCTTAAAAAGCAGAACGAAGAGTCAAAATAGAAACCATTCTTGAATTGTAGAAAAAAATAGTCAATAAATTTAAAAATATTCACTATTAAACATAAGATGCTCTATATAAATAGAGTTTCTTGAAAATACTCTTATGTGATAAATTAATCACTACAATATTTCAATATTAAATAAAAAACTGGTTAAAATTTAAAACATGTCGAATGATCTCTATATATTACACATTATTTATATCTTTATAATTTACTTTGAACAAATTAAATTACAGCTAATGATAGAAAATTTCATCATTTCCTTTACCGACATCTTATGTATATCAACCTCACTTAGATAATATATTACTTAAAAAGTTGTTGTGTCGTGTATGTGATATTGAAATCTAGAAATAAAAGAGGTTAGTCATTAGCGATATTTTTGAAACTTGGAAAGGTATCTTACCCTTGAGTTTTGTAGACATGCAAATCGCATAGAGTCCTGTTTGGTATAGTTTTAATCACACATTGAATCCACAATTTTATTAATTTTTTGATCATATATTTTATCAAAATTTATTAAAAATATGATAGTTAACTACATGGGCAGGGTTCTTTGTAAGAATTGGGTGTTCAGCCATGTTGGTTACTCAAAAGGTGGGCAATTTGGGGAAAAAAATAATAATAAGAGGACAAAGTCAAAGTCAAAGCCTTCTCCAGCAAACAAGTTTAGGGTTATATGATTCTGGTTTGATTGAATTTTGTCTACGTCAGAGAGGTTGTTAGGGGACTTTAACAAACAAGTTTAGACTCGCCAATTGCAATAACTGATTACTTTGATCATTATACTTATTCCAAATAAATTAAATAAGTTGGATTACGAGATTTTAATCAAGTGTGTAGCATATATAACATGCTTGATAAAGTCGATCGAGCAATTGAGTAACATATGAAACTAAATTCATGCCCCTTCACTAAGTTATATTTTCAAGATATACCACTCGAGTTGACATGCAGCTTTTCTTATTTAGGCTTGGATTGAACTTCCGTAGGAATTCATTATAAATCATAGATCCACTAAGCAACTTTTCAAAATTTATCATATATCTCATCTTAATACTTACGTCATAAAAAAATCATTTATTTAATTTTTGATTTGAAAATCGAATAATATTTGAGATTTATCAGAAAAGACGAATGGGAAATTTGGGATGTGAATCATTCAAGTGGATCACAAATTTTGTGCTTGCATGGGCAACCAATGTAATTATGGAATATATTAAAATCTAAGCAAAGAACCTGAGAAAATTTTGGCATTCAACTTTTTAGGGATAAATCTCTTGCCGAATAAAGATAAAAATATAGGCGAATTTATAAAAGTTTGAATTGCTCTTCTTAACAACATTGACATTTTAAAATGGAACATCAAATTTTAATACGTTACTAAAGCTCATTAAGTTTCAACAAACAATTTGATCCGATTAAAACTCAAAAAATGAGCACACGAACTCAATATTGGTTTGCTTCAATCACCATCTTGCGGGGAATTTTAAAGAATAAATCTTTTATCGAATAAAGATGAATATATAGATCAACATATAAGTATTTGGATTACTTCTCTTAATAAGATTGACATTTAAAATGGAACCCTAAATATTATTGACGACATAAACAAATTTTACTATTCCAATTTGTACAGTAGTGAAAATGAGGTGGTGAAGTGTGGACATCACATAATCACGTGGATCTTAGTCCAACAAATTAAACAACAGTAGTCCAAACCTGGTTATATGTCAAAACAACAAAAAATTGAAATGATTGGCAAAAAATAAGTTCCAAAACTTAATACTGGAGAAGACAGAAAGAGCACTTTTAAGTGCGGGCAGCAACTGGTGCTCCACCAGGACGTGGTCCTTGACCTGGTTTTGGTAGATCATCCTGCAATTGAGGAAGCACAAAAATGATGTAGTCAAAAGAAATTAAAAAAACCAAAGCATAAGTCACAAGATGAAAGTCATAGTTATATTTCAACATAGCACCAACCTAAATAGGGAAAACAAAATATTCAAGCCATCGTCAACTAGAGCACAAACCTATAGAAATGGCTTGATAAGCAACTTTCAAAACTCAAAACAATCAAGAGAAACCATGATAAATACCACCCTATATTGAATGATATTCGTGATGTAGGACAGCAAAATGCAGATATGTTAGAATTTAGCTTTTTATGCATATATCCTTAATTAAATACCTGCACTTCATGCAGAACAACATTCATTCTAACGCTAAAAATTACTTCTCTACAGAATTAAGACTTTCTAGAAAAGAAATTTGAAAATCATGTTTGTCAAAATAAGTACCTTGTAAATACAAGTTCCAGATTTATTTTTATTTTTTGGGTGGGGGTGTGGAGATTACGATTAACAATGACAAGCAAATTTGAATGACAGATTCACATCTCTATAGACCAATCAATCAATAAAACAATACTTGAAGAGGAAAAATGGCATTATACTACTTGGGAACACTGGTAAGCTACAATGCTGATCAAGTAAGATGGCAAAAACATACCCTTGGGCGCCTGAAGCGCTGAGGTGGTTCACGGTTCCTCCTATCAGTTCGGGAGCGGACCCTAACAACCTTGGAGTGAATGGCACAGGAAACACAGTACTGCATCTTTACATATAGCTTGGGAAGGGTGTACACTAGATTGAGAAATCAAAAAATTCATGCATTAGGTCATTAATCAGAGATTATACAGTGATCTACGGAAATTCTAGATACAGGAAGTAAGGAAGGTGTACACCTGTCGAACAAGTAATTCAGAAAGTAGAGTACTTACTATCAAAAGCACATGCTTCCTGAACATCTCTTACAGCAGCTTGCTCAACTATGTTCCTCACCAAAAATCTCTTAATGGCTTTGTCCTATAAAACATGGGAACATTACAATGTTCATATGACATGATGAAGGCTCTTCATAAACCGATACTGGAAAACTGAATATCAATGATCTATACACATTTTTAACATTTGCAAGCTTAGACACAGCGTTCCATATGTCAAAGAAACATATGAAAGAAGACATGGCCGAGAAACAGATTGTTTTCAAGACCTACTGGGTCACTGGCAGCCAGATTTTATGCAGAGATTGATAACCCTTCTCTTAAATTGCAATGCTTCCAATGCGGATTAACAAACTACATGACCATACAATTCTCCAAACTGAGATCGGTTATTTAAAACGAAGCAACAAGTATAAACTAATCAAGTTCGTTGTACGGAAAATAAACTAATCAAATTTTAATATGGATTGAGAAACACAATCATCAATTAAACTTAAGTAGTTTCGGGTTAAAATTCAGACATTAACAAGTAGATATTAATAAAGCTACAGAAACCATTAATTTGTTAAGCTACACAAATTTACGTACATTAAACTTTATCTCGCTGAAAGATAATATCAATAGACGTAATTTCTTTTTTCTTGTACAAATGGAAACTAAAGATGAAATAAAACAGATCCACCATAAAATTGAAGGGATCGATAAAGCTAGAAAAACAAATTTCATTTCTTCTCTTGGGATTTTCTCCAGTAAAAAACATACATGTAATTGAAACTAATAAATACCTTAGGACAACACTTGCCACAGTTTGAGCAGCGAATGAAGTTGACGTGTCCACGCCCATGCTTGTTGCGTCCTCCATTCCTTCTCTTGAATGTCTGCAAATACACGTACAAATCAATAGCGGTAATAATGGGGAAAATAGGTAAATCGCATGAAGATTTTCGGAAGGAAAATTAAATATTATTTCGCTTATTAGGATCTTATTGTTCTACCATCGTTGATCGGTTTGATGGCTTCTGCACTCTGAAATTTGGGTCAACAACTAGAACTCGAGGACTGATGAGAGAGAAATTCAGTGTTGTGAGAATTTATATGAGGTTTAATCTGAAACCCTAGAGTCCGTTGGGCTCCCACATCGGGCAGGAGTGGAAGTCCGAGTCATATGGGTCGGTTTAGTCTATACATTACATTTGGCGTCTTTGACTGAAATCAGATTCAAAATTTATTTATTCAAAAATCAGATTATAATTAAAAATTTTAATATTATTAATAATATTATAAAATTTGTTGACCTCAAAAAATACGACAACAAAATCTCAACCACGTCACATGACTTACCTGCACACTGAATACTCCATTAGAATACAAAGATCGTCGGTAGAGAAAAGTTCCGGTGACTGTTTGCACTCCGACATCAAGTTAATGGTCGGACAAGAAAAATATGAGTGCAAAAGAGAGAGAGAGTGTGGATTTTGTTTAGGGTTATAAAACATATCTCAAGTGTGAAAATGAACTCGTATTCATAGAGAAATAAAAATGTAAATGGGTCGAGCCAAAGATGCAATTGTTTAATTAAATAGCTCAAGATGAGGTTTCTTGATTTACTAGGCTCGATCAAATTAAGTAGTCGATGTCACATAATTTATGGATATAACAATAGTTCCAAGTCTGAGTTGTATAATCATATGCAAATCGGACTATACAACTCAGACTTTGAAATATAAGTAGTCAATTAAGTGAGGTCTTATAGATTTTCTTAGAAATATGAGTAGTTTCAATAACTAAGGATTTATGAACTGTCTCGAAAATATGCATGAATCTTAAATAGGTAAGAACTTACAAATTACCTCGAGAATACAAGCCGTTTCAATAAGTAAGGACTTAAAAATTGCTTAGAAAACATCTATGCTAACCTGAATAAGTGAGGACTTACAAATTGTCTCAAAAGATATCACATATAATTTCTCAAAATTTCGGCAATATCTCCTCTGTAATATGGATTAAACTAACCTGTAATTCAACATAATATCTCCACCACACATATACAAAATAAATTTGGGATCCATTTGCCCTCCAAATAAAGTAAAATAATGATCATATCAAACTTGCTAATGTGAAGTAACATGATGTCTATAAAATGATAATGTAGATAACATGGCATACGTACTAGTAGTAATAAAAAGTGTCATAGGTCATGAGGCTTGCTAACACTAATGTGACATGCTTACTTGGCAACAACAATATAATTCATATACTAACAGTAATCACAATAGTCCCCCAAGTCTTAGTCGAATATTTATATGCGGGTCGGACTTGAAATATAAGCTATTATATAAAACTAATGCTGAGACGAGACTGAATATATATGCAGCTGTGATAAGTTAACGCAGAGGCAATGTTGTGAATGTAAGTAGCAGAGACGATGCTCTAGATATAAGTAGATGTACTGATACTGATGTAGAGGCTGACTCTAAACTGAATATAAACAGACGTATTGATATTGATGTAGAGGCTGACTCTGAATTGAATATAAACAGTAGAGACGATGATCTGGATGTAAATAGTTGTGATAAGCTAATATCGTTACATAGGGGTGGCACTCCATGTCAAGGCCTTCCTCCATGGTGTTTGATCCAATTATAAAGGGGTTAACCTTTAAGGTGGCAAGGTGTGGCCCCCTGTGAGAGGCTTTACACTTGTCCTTATCGAGATATTTTATTTTATTTTTTACCTCATTGCAAGAGGTTTACTCTTCCGTGCAAGGGCTTCCTCCATAGTGTTTGAGCCAGCCATAGAAGGCTTCGTCTTTACGGGTAATAAGAGGGCACACCCTTCTCCTTACGAAGCGATAAATGACATCTTTTGCATGGTGGATGGTTCATCCATGCAGGGCCAATGTAAACTCTCTGAAAATAAGTAGATATGATATAGTTGAAGCAAGAGTAAAACACTGAAAGATAGGCAACTGTAATGCAGTAGATGCAGAGGCATGATGAGCTCTCTGAAAATGGATGTAACTATGATGCAATAACTCATATGGTGAGGCATTTCGCAAAACGAAGAATGAATATCGAGCTAATGGATCATCTCGAACTATCGGAGACTTATAAGCTTGCCTCAAGTGGACGAGGTCTTATGCCTGGGCTTAACGATAGTGAGTGGCGAAGAATAAGCATTTCGCGAAGTCAAGAATAAGCATAAGCATATGACAAGAAGGAGAATAAACATTCTGCGAATAGCTCTCAAACTATCAGAGTCTTATAAACGACCTTAGATAGATGAGGGCTTACAGCTAAGCTCGATGGTAGTGAGAGGTCATGAATAAATATCTCGCGAACCTAAGAAAAAGCATTTGGTAAAGTAGAGAACAAACATCCCGCAAATAGCTCTCGAACTATCAGAGTCTTATAAGCGGCCTCGAAATGACGAGGGTTTATAGCTAAGCTCGACAATATTGAGAGACGAGGAATAAACATCTCATAAAGCCAAGAATAAGCATTTGGGAAAAATGGGGAGTAAATATCCCACAAATAGCACTCAAACTATTTCTTATAAGAGGCCTCGGAATGACGAGGGCTTATAGCTAAGCTCGATGATAGTGAGAAGCAAAGAGCAAACATATCACAAAGCCAAGAATTAGCATCTAGTGAGGCAGGAATAAACTTCTCGCAAATAACTCTCGAACTATCAGAGTCTTATAAGCTGCCTCGGATAGACAAGGACTTGCCATTAAGCTCGAAGATAGTGAGACGCTAGGAATAAACATCTTGCAAAGCTAGGGATAAGCATTTGGTGAAGCAAAGATTAAACATCCCACAAATAGCTCTCGAACTATCGGAGTCTTATAAATAGCCTCGAAATGACGAGGTCTTATAACTAAACTCGACGATAGTAAGAGGCGAGGAATAAACATCTCGTAAAAGTTAAGAATAAACATCCTACAAATAGCTCTTAAACTATTGTAGTCTTATAAGCCGTCTCGGAATGATGAGGACTTATAGCTAAACTCAACGTTCGTGAGAGGCGAGGAATAAATATCTCACAAAGTCAGAAATAAGTGTCTGACGAGACAGGGAATAAATATCCCGCAAATAGCTCTCAAACTATCGGAGTCTTATAAATGGCCTCGGAATGACGTTGGCTTACAGCTAAGCTCTACGATAGTGAGAGACGAGGAATAAATATCTTGCAAAGACAAGAATAAACATCTGATAAGGTAGGGAATAGACATTCTGCGAATAGCTCTCTAACTATTGAGGTCTTATAAGTGGCCTCAGAAAAACGAGGGCTTATAGCTAAGCTCGACAATAGTGAGAGGCGAAGAATAAACATCTTGCACAACCAAGAACAAGCATCTGGCGAGGCGGGAGTAAACATCCTGCAAATGGCTTTCAAACTACGGAGTCTTACAAGTAGTATCGGATAGACGAGGTATTATAACTAAGCTCGATGATAATGAGAGACGAGGAATAAACATTTGCGAAGTAAGCATCTGGTAAAGCTGGTAATAAATATCTTGCTAATAGCTCTCAAATTATCAGAGTCTTACAAACAGCCTCGGATAGACGAGGTCTTATAACTAAGCTCGACAATAGTAAGAGGCGAGGAATAAACATCTCGCAAAACTAGGAATAAGCATCTGGCAAAGCGAAAAATAAATATCCAGCTAACAAGACCATCAAAAGTGCCTGTGAATAAGAAAGACCAAGACAATGCATTTTTGCCAAATACATGGTAGATGGCCATTTCCAAGATATGTGGGGGCAAAGATAGAATGTATGACAACTCATTTCCAGCAATTGAGCTAAGCTCCATCATCATTCCCTTCCAAAATTCGTAACCTCATTAGGGCTTACCTTCAAAGATGTGAGGTCTTATGAGTTAGCCTAGGCATGCGACGTCTTAGAGCTTGCCTCGAATAATAGACATGATGATCAAAAGTGCCTGTAAATAAGAAAGACCAAGACAATGCGTTTTTGCCAAATACATGGTAGATGGCCATTTCCAAGAAATGTGGGTGCAAAGATAGAATGTATGACAACTCATTTCCAGCAATTGAGCTAAGCTCCATCATCATTCCCTTCCAAAATTCGTAACCTCATTGCATCTTTAGATTAATTTGAATATGCTTATCCTAAACAGTCATGATCAGCAGTTATGAATATAAGTAGATTCTTCGGAATACAATTGCTTCCAAAAGAGACCAATGTCATAAGAAACCCAAACTCTGCAATCCTAACATGGCATTAAATCTGAAAAATATAGGCATCCACATAGGAAGCACTAATTCATACTCACTTGATGCCAAACCAAGAATAAAAGTCAATAGTAGGTTGGAGTCTATGAGAATAAATCATCCTTGGAGCGGATACCTCGCTTTGACAAGAGTGGTAGGACTTAATGATAGAGAAAATAGGAGTAGAAAGTCCAATTAAAGTCAAGTGGTAATTAATCAAACCACAGAAAACAAATTCCAGCAAGCTTAAAAACAAAAGTTCAGTTGCAACCATGGAAAATAAATATTAGGTCCATCCACTTAACTTTAAAGCATAATTAAAAGTGGTCTTCCCATGATTTTACATTGGGCTTGGACATATGAAGAAAGCTCAAGAAACAAATTAGTTGATCCACACAAGCAGAAAAATGGGAATAGGCACAATCTTTAACTAAAAGTGGGTAGCTTAGAGTTGTAGAGAAAAGGACAAGTCATTTCCCCAATTATTCTCGACATACATTTGCACTGACCATTAGGTAAAACCCATGAGCAAGTAAAGTGACTGGTCAAGAAAAAATTCACAAGCCTATAGCTTTTGAAAAATGTTGGTGGTACAGGGGCCTGGTTCACAGGCCCCTGCCAGATGTGAGAGAAGGTGGGGGTAGGCCCCACCTTTTTTAAATTCCTGTGGGGCCCGACCCCCTATAGCAAGGGGTCTATGCAACTCCTGTGAACTGAGCTCATGTACGTAGAGCTTGGTTAATAGCTTTTACTTCGATTTCAAAAATGTTTCCGATCGAGGCTCCTGCTTGAGACCGTGTACTGGAGTTTCAACATTTTGTCAAACCCATAAAATGATAATATGCTAAACATCTTGTTGGAGCACTTCATCAAGCAATTGGTGATTGAAGTTACAATATGATTTT